ATTTTGAGGGTTTTGTTCGTCAACAACGTCGAAAGTCTAGCACTGATATTGCGACTTGTCCTTCACAACGAATTATCAGTAAGCAGGTCCCAGAATAATTTGCCTGTGATCAGCCACTGTTTTCAGCATGATGCCAGTAAAACAGCGCAGGTAAAAATGACCAGTACACCTTCTGTTGTGATAATCTTTTTCTTAAGGTACTGGGTTCCGTATTTCTTGATTTTCTGGCGCAAAAGGATGACTACCTTCGGGCGTTGCGATTATTACTACGCGAGATCGTGCGCTCTTCGATGAAAACCGTCTTTCCTCTCGTCGACTTCTCGCACGCCCTCATGTTCGGCATCAGGAAGCTGGTAAACGCTGAAAAGCAAGAAATTCATTTCAAGGTATCATGTTCCACTTAGCATTTTTATCCGTTATCAGCTACTTTTTAGGAGAAACTGGTGCGTGCCATCGAAGACTTGCTCTGTGTGTGCGCGTTCGCCAGCATTCCACCTCAAATCAGGGAACTCATGCTACCAAATGTTCGTAGCGATAAGAAAGGTACTTCACAGCTCTAACTCAATTTGAACAGTTCTTCAGTTGTACTCTCAACTGTTTTAACTCTGCTTTTCATACATACAGTAAAACGAATATATGACTTGTAATTCATATTATTCTCAATACTTGCTCCTGAGATCTTAATCTAATTTCCAGTACTCCATTTACCACTTGAGAAGCATTCGTAGCATTTTTTGTGGTATCTGGATGGCGTCAATGAGATTTACTTGTTCTGGTGACGAACGCTATATATAGCCAGTTGTAATCGCAGTCTTCCTTTCACGCTTTTGTCGACTATTCATTTGATGGATGCCCCGACTACAGATATAGCATGCCTTCTTTTTACGTTAACTAGGGAATTAACCTCAATTCTGGCGTCAGTATTAGCAGTCAACCTTTCCTTCTTGACAAATTGTCTTAAACTCATAAATAAGATCTTCACCCCTGTGTAGACATAAGCAACCGTCCATTTCGTTTTTCAACTGAACAACTCGCGGATACCGCAGCAGTGAAAGCGGATACGCGGTTACATTGCGCTGTATTTCGCTCCGGTGTCCGGTGGACATGTGGTGGTTTTTCGCCTTAATATTGATTGCTCGCTTGCGAATGTCTTTCATTATACTTTAATTACGAAAATACTCATCATTTCACTGCCATATACTGTTTTAATCGTAAAGTAGCGAAAGAACTTGGATGTCTGCTCATACTTCTTTGTGTGCTTCAAGAGCTGGCATTTATTTGATCCTTCTCGCTGCCCTTATTGTCGCCATGTTCATCTGTATCTTCCATGACCACTTCTCATTTCGGGTCGCTGATGCAGGCGCGAAGAACACTGTTTCCAACGTTCCCAATCCTGACTTTTAGCGGAAAACAGCTGGAATCTGAGCACATTTCTTCCATATATTTACACCAGGTTAATATTGGCCGTTCCTTGGGCCTTCTACGTGTCGGTTTTGCAAGAAGCAATTGCTTAGCCTTTCTCTCTGGAGACATTCGAAACACGTGCCCAGATCATCGAAGATGTGACTTCTTAATATGGAGAAGTACTGACTCTAGAACAAGGATTTTTGAGATATATGGACTCCGAATCATATCGAAATGCCTGGACCCAGCGATTCGTCTCAGACAACACATTTCATTATCTAGTACCAGGGATTGTTGCATTTTAATACTGAAGCGCGACCCATGACTGTTGGTAAGCGTGGGGATGAAGATCGACATGAACATCGAGTGATTAGTCTTCAGACCTCCGCTTTAGTCATTTTTCGGGCTTGTGTACGCAGAATGCCTCTCACTACAATCAGCCAGTCGATCTCTTCCTCATATTTTCCGTCAGTAGCAAACACGACTCCGAGGTACTTGAACCACTTCACCTGCTCCACTGCTTTTCCGTTTAAGTGAACAGAGCAACGGACTGGAAAACAAGAAAGCACTAGGACTTTTCCCATTGCTTTGCAAATTTTTCCTCTTGATCAAGAGTTAATTGTTGCATTTTATCACACTCTCTGCTGTACATTTATTTTGTACTCAGCATTCCGATATACATATTTTTTGATTAGTCTGTGCAGATGAAAACTTGACGGCTGCCTTTCGGAAGCAGCTGAAGCGGTTTCAAATCGAATGCTTGATTTGGCTAAGATCTGTCTTACCAACGTTTCTTAAATTAACGAAGGAGGAGTACATGAAAAGGTATTGTGTTTTGAAAACTTTTACTGATTCAGCTATTTTTTTAGTTATTACCATTTGTTGTTTCTCGATAGTCCTGATTCGTACTCTAGCAAGGACAGTTGGCCTTCAGAATCTGAAAAAAGGTATTATATTTTTACCTGTCGTTCAGAATATTTTTTGCTCATGTGACTTTGCCATTTATGTTGTGATCCATGGGATGCAAGTTTAATTTTACTATTTAAGAACAGTTCCCGGACTGATGTGAGACGTTTAGTTTAGGACATGTTCTGCTCCGTCTGAGAAGGTAGTGTTTCCAAGCGACATATTCTTTCAAGATATAGCAGGCCTGTCATGGAGTGTCTTTATACGTTCAGTTCATATTCTTGCGACAGTTGGAAAATACGCGAGTTACCCTCTTACTGTAATTAATAAATGTGAAATTGTTCAATGGAGTTGATTTGAGATTTCATATGCCATTCCTGCCTTAAAAGTATTAAGGAAATTATGCGCCAATTTTCCGGCACTTAAATCTTGACCATCTAAGTTAAGAAAGACAGTGATTTCATTAAGATTTCAGTTATTAGACATTTTTTAAGCGTCAATTCTTCTGAATGAATCTTCGTTTCTTTTTCTTGCCCATGAGTTATTTTATGTTCGTTCAGTGGTTAGGAAGCGTGGTGAAAAAATTTCACAATTATCTTTATAGATATGCTTCCGTATGACGGGCTCTAATCGTTCCATAAACAATTTGCAATTTTACTCTCAAGCAGACATTGCAGATTTACGCACTGTGCCGCCCTTTTACCTGTCCCATTACCTTGGTCATCGGTGCTTCTTTGCAACGGCAACGATGATGATGGATTTTTGACAGCGGGGTGGATTGATATTTATTAACAAATTCCAGCACCCGAGTTCTTTTTTTAGCTGCGAAAATATCGCGAGAGCTGGTTTTCCTACCTCTTTGTGCAAGAGAGAATCATTTTTGTCGTCTGCGTGATGCGAAACATCGATATAACCTTATCGTTGTCTCGTCTGATCTGTCAAATGGTTTCTAGCCACGTCCTCAGCAAATAATCGGTGCAGTGATAATTTATTTTACAAAATT